AAGAGAATTCTAAAAGCCTGGAAAACATATTTGGGGGAATAATCGAGGAAAACTTCCCCGGCCTTGCAAGAGACCCAGACATCCAAATACAAGCAGCACAAAGAACACCTGGAAATTCATCACAAAAAGATCTTCACCTAGGCACATTGTCATCCGGTTATTCAAAGTTAAGACCAAGGAAAGAATCTTAAGAGCTGTGAGACAGAAGCAACAGGTAACCTATAAAGGAAAACCTATCAGATTAACAGTGGATTTCTCAGCAGAAACCCTACAAACTAGAAGAGATTGGGGCCCTATCTTCAGCCTCCTCAAACCAATTATCAGCCAAGAATTTTGTATCCAGCAAAACTAAACATCATATACAAAAGAAAGTCATTTTTCAGACAAACAAATGCTGAAAGAATTCACCATTACCAAACCACCACTACAAGAGCTGCTAAAAGGAGCTCTAAATCTTGAAACAAATCCAGGAAACACATCAAAACAGAACCTCTTTAAAGCATAAATCACACAGGACCTATAAAACAAAAACACAAGTTAAAAAGCAAAAACAAAAAACAAAACCAAAGCACACAGGCAACAAAGAGCATGATGAAAGCAATGGTACCTCACATTTCAGTACTAACACTGAATGTAAACGACCTGAATGCTCCATTTAAAAGATACAGAACTGAAGAATGGATAAGAACTCACCAGCCAACCATCTGCTGCCTTCAGGAGACTCACCTAACACATAAGGACTCACATAAACTTAAGGTAAAGGAGTAGAAAAAGGCATGTCATGCAAATGGACACCAAAAGCAAGCAGGGGTAGCTATTCTTTTTAGTTGTTTTTTTTGTTTTGTTTTGTTTTGTTTGAGATAGAATCTGCTCTGACACTCAGGCTGGAGTACAGTGGTGCAATCTTGGCTCACTGCAACCTCTGCCTCTCAGGTTCAAGTGATTTTCCTGCCTCAGCCTCCCAAATAGCTGGGATTATAGGTGCCTGCCACCATGCCTGGCTAATTTTTGTATTTTTAGTAGAGATGGGGTTTCACCATGTTGGCAAGGCTGGTCTCAATTTCCTGACCTCAGGAGATCCTCCTGCCTCCGCTTCCCAAAGTGCTGGGATTACAAGCGTGAGCCACCATGCCTGGCTGGGTAATCTATTCTTATATGAGACAAAACAAACTGTAAAGCAACAGTGGTTAAAAAAGACAAAGAGGCACAGTATATAATGGTAAAAGGCCTTCTCCAGCAGGAAAATATCACAATCCTAAACATATATGCACCTAACACTGGAGCTCCCAAATTTATAAAACAATTACTAATAGACTTAAAAAATGAGATAAACAGCAACACAATAATAGTGGGGGACTTCAATACTCCACTGACAGCATTAGACAGGTCCTCAAGACAGAAAGTCAACAAAGAAACAATGGATTTAAACTATATCTTGGAACAAACAGAGTTAACGGATATATACAGAACATTTCATCCAACCACCGCAGAATACACATTCTATTCAACAGTGCATGGAACTTTCTCCAAGATAGACCATATCATAGGCCATAAAACAAGCCTCAATAAACTTAAGAAAATTGAAATTTTATCCAGCACTCTCTCAAACCACAGTGGAATAAAACTGGAAATCAACTCCAAAAGGAACCTTCAAAACCATGCAAATACATGGAATTTAAATGACCTGTTCCTGAATGAGCATTCAGTCAAAAACGAAATCAAGATGGAGATTAGAAAATTCTTTGAGCTGAATGATAATAATGACACAACCTATCAAAACCTCTGGGATACAGCAAAGGCGGTGCTAAGAGGAAAGTTCATAGCCCTAAATGCCTACATCAAAAAGGCTGAAAGAGCACAAACAGACAATCTAAGGTCACACCTCAAGGAACCAGAGAAACAAGAACAAACCAAATTTAAACCCAGCGGAAGAAAGGAAATAACCAAGATCAGAGCAGAACTAAATGAAATTGAAACAAAAAATTTACAAAAGATAAATGAAACAAAAAGCTAGTTCTTTGAAAAGATAAATAAAATTGATAGACCATTAGCAAGATTAACCAAGTAAAGAAGACAGAAAATTCAAATAATCTCACTAAGAAATGAAACTGGAGATATTACACCTGACACCACTGAAATACAAAGGATCATTCAAGGCAACACCTTTACACACATAAATTAGAAAACCTAGAAGAGACTAATAAATTCCTGGAAAAATACAACCCTCCTAGCTTAAATCAGAAAGAATTAGATACCCTGGACAAACCAATAACAAGCAGCAAGATTGAAATGGTAATTTAAAAATTACCAACAAAAAAAAGTCAAGGACCAGATGGATTCACAGCAGAATTCTATCAGACATTCAATGAAAAATTGGTACCAATCCTTTTGACACTATTCCACAAGACACAGAAAGAAGGAACTCTCCCTAATTTATTGTATGAAGCCAGCATCACCCTAATACCCAAACCAGGAAAGGACATAACCAAAAAAAGAAAACTGCAGACTGATATCCTTGATGAACACAGATGCTAGAATCCGTAACAAAATACTAGCTAACCAAATCCAACAACATATCAAAAAGATAATCCACCATGATCAAGTGGGTTTCATACCAGGGATGCAGGGATAGGTTAACATACATGTCAGTAAATGTGATACACCATATAAACAGAATTAAAAACAAAAATCACATGATCATCTCAATAGATACAAAGCACTGGACAAAATTTAGCATCCCTTTATGATTAAAACTCTCAGCAAAACTGGCATATGAGGGACATACCTTAATGTCATAAAAGCCATCTATAACAAACCCACACTCAATACAATACTGAGTGGGGAAAAGTTGAAAGCATTCCCTCTGAGAACTGGAACAAGACAAGGATAACCACTCTCACCACTCCTTTTCAACACAGTACTGGAAGTCCTAGCCAGAACAATCAGACAAGAGAAAGAAATAAAGGGCATCTAAATCGGTAAAGAGGAACTAAAACTGTCACTGCTTGCTGATGGTATAATCATTTACCTTGAAAATCCTAAGGACTCCTCTAGAAAGCTCCTAGAACTGATAAAAGAATTCAGCAAAGTTTCCGGATACGAGATTAATGTACACAAATCAGAAGCTCTTCTATAAACCAACAGCGACCAAGCAGAGAACCAAATCAAGAACTCAACCCCTTTACAATAGCTGCAAAAAAGTTAAAATACTTAGTAAAATACCTAACAAAGGAGTCGAAAGACCTCTACATGGAAAACTACAAAACACGGCTGAAAAAAATAATAAACGATGCAAACAAATGGAAACACATCCCATGCTCGTGGATGGGTAGAACCAATATTGTGAAAATGACCATACCACCAAAAGCAATCTACAAATTCAGTGCAATCCCCATTGGAATACCATCATCATTCTTCACAGAATTAGAAAAAACAATTCTAAAATTCATATGGAACCAAAAAAGAGCCCACATAGCCAAAGCAAGACTAAGCAAAAAGAACAAATTTGGAGGCATCACACTACTTGATTTCAAACTATACTATAAGGCCATAGTCACCAAAACAGCATGGTACTGGTATGAAAACAGGCACATAGACCAATGGAACAGAATAGAGAACCCAGAAATAAACCCAAACACTTACAGCCAACTGATCTTCAATAAAGAAAACAAAAACATAAAGTGGGGAAAGGACATCTTTTTCAACAAATGGTGCTGGGATAATTGGTTAGTCACATGTAGGAGAATGAAACTGGATCCTCATCTCTCACCTTATACAAAAATCAACTCAATATGGATTAAGGACTTAAAACCTAAGACCTGAAACTATAAAAATTCTAGAACACTGGAAAAACCCTTCTAGACATTGGCTTAGGCAAGGATTTCATGACCAAGAACCCAAAAGCAAACGCAATAAAAACAAAGATAAATAACTGGGGCCTAATTAATCAGCTTTTGCACAGCAAAAGGAACAGTCAGCAGAGTAAACAGACAACCCACAGTGTGGGAGAAAATTTTCACAATCTATACATCTGACAAAAGACTACTATGCAGAATCTATAATAAACTCAAACAAATCAGTAAGAAAAAAACAATCCCATCCAAAAGTGGACTAAGGACATGAACAGACAGTTCTCAAAAGAAGATATACAAATGGCCAACAAACATATGAAAAAATGCTCAACATCACTAATGATCAGGGAAATGCAAATCAAAGCCATAATGCGATACCATCTTACTCCTGCAAGAATGGCCATAATCAAAAGATCAAAAAACAGTTGATGTTGGAGTGGATGTGGTGAACGAGGAACACTTCTACACTGCTGGTGTTAACATAAACTAGTACAGCTACTATGGAAAACAGTGTGGAGATTCCTTAAAGAACTAACAGTAGAACTACCATTTGATCGAGCAATCACACTAGGGGGTTTTACTCAGAGGAAAAGAAGTCATTATTCGAAAAAGATACTTGTACATGCATGTTTATAGCAGCACAATTCACAATTGCAAAACCATGGAAACAACCCAAATGCCCATCGATAAGTGGATAAAGAAACTGTGCCATATATATATATATATATATATATGCATACATATATTGCGCAGCCATGAAAAGGAATGAATTAACAGCATTTACAGTAACCTGGATGAGATAGGAGACTATTATTCTAAGTGATGTAACTCAGGGATGGAAAACCAAACATTATATGTTCTCACTGATACATGGGAGCTAAGCTATGAGGACACAAAGGCATAAGAATGATACAATAAACTTTGGGGACTTGGGGGGAAGAGTGGGAGGGAGGCGAGGGATAAAAGACTACAAATATGGTGCAGTGTATACTGCTTGGGTGATGAGTGCACCAAAATCTCACAGATCACCACTAAAGAACTCACTCATGTAACCACATACCACCTGTACCCCAATAACTTATGGAAAAATAAAATAAAATAAATAAATAAATAAAATTAATGACTGTCTAAATAAATATACTTACTTACATTTTTGAATAGTTGCTCAGCAAGTTCTCTGACATGCTTTATCATCTTCACTGGGCTATTTTCTTCAACTTTAATTCTCTCTACTTCAAAGGCTACCAACTAGGAAAAAGAATCAAAAGGCAAAACATCAATTCCAAAATATGCCAAATTCAAAAACTGTGACAATTTCATACAATTTGCAAGCCAAAAAAATCCAACATATACATTATCTTTAAAACAAAATATTTTAGGTTTTGGGGTTTCACCTCCATTCTGGGGTTACAGGGTCAATCAAACCCTTGAATTGTATAGTGGTCCCTCCCTGAGGATTTAGGGCCCTATTTCTTCTAGGGAAAAGTCATTTCTGGAACTCAGAGAGACCCTGTCATTCCACAGGCCTCAGTCAGAGAAATTCAGACAGTTAGAAAGTGTCTAAACACTTCCTTAACTCACAAAACATGAACCAAATGTCCAAGTCAGGATGCTCAGACTTTAGTCCTAGCTCTGCTGATAGTGTGTGATCTGGGACAAGACACTTAAACTCCTGAGCTTCAGTTTTCTCATCTCTAAAATAAGATGGAAGAACAAAATGGCCTTTAGATTCCTTCTAGTCTCAAACTATCTCTTTATTAACTAATTTACTGGGAGAACTGTGTGAATCTGTATACTTAGGGTAAAGAAAAGAAGGCTGACAGGAAAAAAAAATTGTGGAGGGTAAATAGATGGACAATAAAAATAAAAAGGTACAATACAGGATTCTTCTAGGAACTAATAGATTCGCTGCATAGGCATATAAAACTATGGCTTACCTATTCTAGGCTAGGATTCAGAAAGATGATCAAGGGCAAACATTCTTTTCATTCTAAGACATCTAGCTGATGGGAGTGTGAGGACAAGGCCATGCACAATGCAAGCTGCCTCTCAAAGCCCCCGTAATACCCCATTGTGGTAGACTGCCCTAGGCTAAGTGAAAACAAGGATCACTTTCCCAGGAGCAAATGCTATTTTTCTACCAAAGCATTCCCATGCAAATGGCCAAAGAGGGTAGAATGAGAAATTAGTTAGTTCTGATGGTTCATTTTTCTTAGGCTCTTGACTGATATATACATATGATTCACTGGCAGTCAAGTAACAAAAGTAAGACACCCAAAGTCACCACTGTAGGCCAAACAGAGAACTGGATGAACACTAATGGGTGACCCAATAGGAACCTTGGCTTATCATTGTTTCCAATCTAGAGTATATTTGTATAAACAATAAATAAATAAAAAATAAGTTAGCACATAAAGTTAGAGACATAAAATGAAGCCTAACGCAGTCGAGTGGCTCTCAGAGTCAATGACTTTGGGAGAGTTTGGAAGAGGTGGTGAGATAAGAGCAGAGCATGAAGAACAGAGGAGGGCACTCCAAGCACGGGAAAGACCTACAAAATAGAGGCTGTGGCAAGTAAGTTTTCTGTAAGTAACCAATCTTGCTTTTTAGTTGTGATGAAGCTGTCAGAGGAAGATAAATTTGAATAGAAAAGAGAGATTATATAAACCAATGTTACTATTCATAAAGCTTCAAAGACTAACAAAATGTAGGTGCTAGAAAAGACCTTGGAGACCATCTATTTTAAACCCATAAAATATTATGTTATGAACTTAGTACAGAATCTAAAGGCTGATATGTTAGTAGAATCAATAACCAATCATGTTATATGTAGTATTAGAGAATCAATGACCAATAATTGATTACAAAAAATTGTCCACCTCAGGATGTTTCCTAAATCTTCGTATGCTTTGTGTTATTAATTAAAGCATCTGATGCAGTAAACATATTCTACACAGAACTAAAACATGTGCCTCTTCTTTAAAAATTCTTACCTGTGAATACTTCACTATCTTTAAAAAAAAAAAAGATCCTTCTCCTCTGAACCAAAGATATTTAAGACTTTCATTCCTACCTTCCCTATATAAAAGAAAATCACCAGAGGCAAAACATGACCACTATCACGATTCTCCAATATCTTGGGATCTAGGAATGTGGTTTTTTTATAGATATCAAGAAACTTTTTAGATTTTTGGTTCTAATATAGTACTCTTTCAAAAATTGAAATGAGAATAATATTCTTGTTCTACCCACCAGAGTGGGCTGCTGTGAATATAGAGTTAAATGATAAATGGAAAGGTGCTTTTAAAAAAGAGCACAATAAATGCAAATAGCATTCTTATTTTGAGTCACATCTGCCCTATTTCTCCCTTTATATGGCTAATTCCTTGAAGACAGAGACAGAAATCTGTTTTCCATACATTTAATGTCTCCTAAGACAGGTAGAGAAGAGTTGAAAATTGATTAGTGAGAATGCCACAAACTTAAACTATGGCTCTATGATTCTGATAGACCAAATGTAACTCCAGTTTGAAGTAATTTCAGCTATCTTAGCTTCAAATTAGAGCTTTCTCCCTATAACACTGACAAAAGAATTACTGTATTAGGGCCTTTAAAAATAAGAGTTCTATTTATACAATCACTGTTACCTTTTCAAAAAGATTTTAATCAACTATTTTTTAAAATATAATAGTTTAAAATATGAATAGTTTTTGGAGTATGAGTGGTTTTCGGTTACATGGATGAATTATATAGTGGTGAATTCTGAGATTTTGGTGCACCCATCACCTGAGTAGTGTACATTGTTCAATTAATTAAAATTCAGTTGTTCAAAAATTATATGTACTTTCAAGGCATTTTATAATTTTTTTGGTAATTTTTATAATCCACATTAAAATATCGAGATTTGATAAGCATAATAAATAACATTGGGATTAATACCTAATTTATATATGACTATATAAATATGAAAAATGTTACTTTTTGCTTTTAACTACTAGTCTAATTATGTCTATAAATAATGCCTTCATTTAATAAGAACTATACCTCATCAAAGAGATCACAAGATCTATAAGGAGGACCTCTTTCTGAAACAAAACCTGCAAATGCCATTCCATTGAGTACTTTAGTGAGGAAATCATTCTCGACCAAACCACGCTGCCCCAAGAATGCTGTCTGTGAAAAAAGAAAACGTGAAATAATAATTTATCACTTGGTAATGGACAAATGGTCAAAACAAAAATACAATAAAAAGAGCAAGGCCTATGTAAATCCCTTCATGTATAAATATGTGTTGTCATAAAATACATTTCTCTCAAAGAGAGTTATTCTGAAATACTACATATATTGAAAAGAATAAAAATGAATCTGTCTCCATGTTAGGAGAAGAAATCAGAAATTAACATTCAATTTTAAAAGAAAAATTGATTTAAAGTTAACATATTCTAAGACAGTATGTGAGTTCCATATTATTATTAAGAACCAATATCTAACCACATAGAGATTTTAAATAATCACATTTGATAAATCAAGGTCAAAATAAATGGCTAGGAAAAAAAAATCAAGTAGTTTTATTAAATTAGAATATATTTCTTGGACAGACACAATACAGTACTCTATATCTTACTTTGTGGAAATGTATTACTGGCTCTGCATGAATTCTTATAAGTTGCAGGCAGGATCTATATCCTTGGAAGAGTTGTGCAAATAATCTAAGGAAAACTGCTCGCACCTCTTTATCCTAAAAATATAAGAAGAAAGGTTAGGTAATTTAACTTTTTAAAAACAAATGAAATATCGAGTCAAAAAGGTGGCCTTTTCATATATCCCAAGGACCTTTGGCATATATCCCAAGTCCTTTGATTTTTATATGCACCAAAACAATTACAGTCACAACCAAATATAAGACAAATATAAGAAGAAAAAACTCTTAAGATTGTATTTAATCCAGCTTTTATTGGAATCACAGTTTAGAACTGTAAGAAAACTGACAGATTCTGTTAGTCAATGCCTTACTTAATTGATCAGGAAATGAAGGTCAAGAATGCTTAAGTATATGTGTTCAGCTCCCTGAGGTTCCTTATTGGTTACAAAACCCACTGCTAAGAAATGCACTGAGCAAAATAAAAAAGGGGCCTCTGTTATATATATAACCTTCAATGGCTTCTAATTGGAACTATTTCCATCCACACACTCTTCAAACTTGATTCTCTCCTATAACCAACATTCTTTATATCCGTTTTTGGAAGCATCTCTTCTGTTTTTAATCCTTGCCTGGCTGTTTCAATTTGATGCTTGGCACAGTTTTCCAGGCTATAATCTAGGCTCTGATTTTCTGTCCTACACTTAACTCATGCCTCCTCAGGGCAACAGTCTTAGCACTAGTGGCCTGTTGCCCAGTGTGCTTCCCTGTGCCTCCTCCTTGAGAAGGACATAAGGACAGTCAGTGGCAAGTCTCTTAATTTCTAGTTTTGGGCACTTTTTACTCTGCTGTCCATCTAACTCTAACTTTACTTAGCTTCTTTAAAAACCCTACAAATAAAAGAACAGCTCTCTTCAACAGCATTAAATGTAAATATTAAACTTCTTACCAGCATTTTTGAGTGGGATAAAGCTGTTCGTGGAGGAGGAAAAGCATGATCTGCTACTTCCAAATCTGGGTGTAAAATCTAAAGCAAAAAAGTTTTGTTATGTAAAATATCTTAATATCAATGAAATCTATTATTGGGACATTAAGATGAAAATGTCAGCATATGAATTATAATATATTCCCTCCATTAATACAATTCAATTAGCTGGGGTAGTTCTATATGTACCACTGTAGAAAGATCTCCAAGACAAAATATTCAGTTGAAACATGTTCTAGAAAAATACACATAGTATAGTCTAATTTATTTGAAAATAAAACAAAATAAACCCTAAATCTACATAGGTATATATATATATATGGAGAGAGAGAGAGAGAGAGAGAGAGAAATGAGAATGAAAAGTTCTGAAAAAAAATACACTAAACTATAAAATAGTAGTCATGTCTGGTAAGGGAATAATCTATATAGCTGAATTTTTAAAAACAGCTGCTTGTTTTTATGTTCTAAGTGTAATGAAAAATTACTGAGGAGAGGCCAGGTGCAGTGGCTCATGCCTGTAATCCCAGCACTTTGGGAGGGCAAGGTGGGTGGATCACTTGAGGTTAGGAATTCGAGACCAGCCGGGCCAACATGGTGAAACCCTGTCTCTAGTGAAAATACAAAAATTAGCTCAGCATGGTGGCACATGCCTGTAGTCCCAGCTACTTGGGAGGCTGAAGCAGAATAGCTTGAACCTGGGAGACGGAGGTTGCAGTGAGCTGAGACTGCACCACTGCACTCCAGCCTGGGGGACAGAACAAGACTCTGTCTCAAAAAAAAAAAAAAAAAAATTACTGAGGAGAAAGAAAATAAGATTTTGAACTTTGCAGTCTAAACAGGTAAAAATATAAAACCATGTCACAAAAGTGCTAAAATATATAAAGTGCAATATGTGAAATGTAAAGCATAATTAATTCAACTTAGGGAAAACTAAACAAAAAATAAAGTAACATTTGAGTTAAGCTTTGAAGGAAAGCAGGTTGGGGAGCAGCTGGGAAAGAAGGGCCTGTGTAGGACTTACACAGAGAAGATGAAATTGTATCAGTATGTAGCAAATTTTCTCCTTGCAGAATCATTTTCAAATACTAAGATTTTTGATGGTATGCTGAGAACAGACCAAAAGACTCAAAACAACACTTAAAGACAACACTAAAATACTGGCAGTTCAAGTCATTGAATCACAAGCACAGCACAAAATATCTTGGTGTCTATAAAATAATCCATTGTTATTACACAGTTTAAGTATAGTGTTGCCATTTGATTATAATTATTTACTAATGAAACAAAGCTTATATGCTTGTGTGTTGATGTTCCCAATCATCCATGAAATGTAGTTTCTTTTTGGTCCTAGTTTGACAATACATTATGCTCCTATTTCTTTTTTTCTTTTCTTTTTTTTCTTTTTTTTTTTTTTTTTGAGACGGAGTTTCGCTCTTGTTGCCCAGGCTGGAGTGCAATGGCATGATCTCGGCTCACGGCAACCTCTGCCTCCTGGGTTCAAGCGAGCCTACTGTCTCAGCCTCCTGAGCAGCTAGGATTACAGGTGTGCATCACCACAGCTGGCTAATTTTTTGTCTTTTTTTTTTTTTTTTTTTGGGATGGGATTTTGCCATGTTGTTCAGGTTGGTCTCGAACTCCTGACCTCAGATGATCCACCCACCTCAGTCTTCCAAAGTGTTGGGATTACAGGTGTGAGCCACCACACCCGGCCCTATGCTCCTATTTCTTATTCACGGAACAGTAAGTAGTACCTAATCCACCACTGTGCTTAGTAACTATAACAATATGTACACTCAGTTTTACCAAAAAGGAATTTTACACATTGATCAAATTTGGTGGCACAGGTGTTGCAGGTTTAGGTATACGAGTATGCAGCAGAACCCTTACCAGGAGCCATTGGCTTAAGAAGTACAATCTTACTCTTTGTTAATTTTGGTACTTAACCCCTAAATAACTATTCATATCACTAGTAAGTAACCACAAATAAGATTTAATCCCTATAGGAATTCTAGAAACATTAAACTTTCTTCAGTCATTCAAATACTACCTTCTCAGCTTTTGCTATATATACATATACCATCTATGCAATTATATAGTCAAGATTTTTCTTTAAATTGTCTTTAAATCAACTCCTTTTTTTTCTTTTTTCTTTTTTTGGTGAGATGGAGATTTACTCTTGTTGCCCAGGCTGGAGAGCAATGGCGCGATCTCGGCTCACCGCATCCTCCACCTCCCAGGTTCAAGCGGTTCTCCTGCCTCAGCCTCCTGAGTAGCTGGGATTACAGGCATGTGTCACCACGCCTGGTTAATTTTGTATTTTTAGTGCAGACGGGGTTTCACAGTGTTGCCCAGGCTGATCCTGAACTCCTGACCTCAGGTAATCTGCCCGCCTCAGCCTCCCAAAGTGCTGGCATTACAGGCATGAGCCACTGTGCCCGGCCTTGTTTTGGTTTTTGAGATGGAGTCTAGCTCTGTTACCCAGGCTGGAGTGCAGTGGCGCAATCTCGGCTCACTGCAACCTCTGCTTCCCAGGTTCACGCTATTCTCCTGCATCAGCCTCCTGAGTAGCTGGGATTACAGGCATGTGCCACCATGCCCAGCTAATTTTTGTATTTTTAGTAGATTCTCTAACTGTTCCCATTTCACAGATACCACTATGACACCAAAAAAGACTAACACAAATTTTAAAGTTTTCTGAGAATAAAATCCCTCCTGGTTATCCTAGGCTTCTAAGTTTCTATTTAAGAGGGAAAAAATGTTTTAAATAGCCCAGAATAAAATATTCTTAAAGTAGAATATGAAGGCCTTAGTTCTAGTAATGTGTTGAAAAGGAATGCAGAATTTCTACACTTCAATTTTCTGATGATAAGCACCTAAAATGCTATCAGTAAAACAAAATACCATGTTTTCAAAATTCAGCTAAGATAAAATAACTGCAAAAAAAATTCAATCTGTTTCAATGAGAAAAACTGAAGCCACAAGATGTTTTAAAGCTTTACTTGGCTTGAATGTAGTGTATACTTCTCCTTCTTTGGTATTTCTATTCATATGGCATTTAGAGTGGAATGTTGGACATTTTATGTATCAATAAGACACATCTTTCTGTAATAACCTGAAAGTATTGGCAAGACAATATTACAGTGTTTTGTAGGTACCAAAGAGGAATGAGATGCCAATAGGGAGGCTAGAGAAGAGAAGCCAACACCTAATGGGGGATCTTAGGGGAATCAGGGATTTCAAGGCAGAGCCTTGTTTTCACAGGTGAATTTCCAATACCTAGGACAGTACTAGGTCCTGTACGCTGAATGAAGAAAGCAATGTAGAACAAATATTCAGTTAGGATCCAAAATATATGTTTTAGATAACTACCTAGTAAACGAATAATTCTAAATACTATAAAAGAATATGTTCATGTTTCCAACATATAGCTCTCTTTAAAGTAACAAACTGTATTGACAAACATTTTCAATTTCAGCTATCTTAGCTTCAGATTTAAATAAAGAGAAAGTTACTATTACAAAAACATGTCATACCAAAGAAAGAGCTGATTGCGTCTGATGTAGAAGTGGTTCTGGGAGAGAAGAGAGGTGAATACATTCAGGAATTTTAATAGTGCCTCCATCCAAATCTGCTATGATTACATCTAACTGAAAGAGATAAAAAAAATTAACCTATAATTACGGAAATACATTTGTTGTTAAGCAAATTATTTTTCCCTTGACTAATTCAAAATGAGAAGAATCACGTGTGGAAGAGACACTTGTTTGTCCATAGTAGTACAATTCTGGGCTAACAAGTTCCCAGCAACACTGTGTTTCCCAGCTTCCTTTGAAATTAGATGTGGCATGTGGCTAAGATTCTGCCAATAAAACATGAGAAGTGACATATTCCTGTCCTTCAAGAGAGGGGATATGTAAAGCTCTCCTATGCTGTCTTTCCTTTTCCCTTAGACTAAAATTATAAACTGACAGCAAACCAGCCTTCAAGCATACACATGATGACAATGCCTGGGAGGATTCTGTTGGAGAAACAAGAAGTATGGAAGCTTGGATCTTGAATGACTTCATAGAGCAGATTGGTCTGGCATAATGGAACATGTCTATGGACTGCTGCATGAGTGTTCAATGACACTATTTTGTTTCAGCCATTGCCTTTTGTTCTGATTTTACTGTATATGCGGCTGCAGCAAGCACAGAGGATTGCATTTCAGACACTTTATTCAAGTAGTTTAGTAATATTCTAAACAAATTAGTATTTATTACAAGAATTAACAAAGCAATTAGTATACATCAAAAGGGTACTGTTTAGCCACTTAGAAAAATCTGATTTTTAGCATTTTACAAAAGTCTATTTAAAAATAACTTACATAAAAATGTAAGAGAAAACAGCCAAGATGAGTGAAGCTGTTATATTGACAATATTATAATTCATTCTAATTTATTCATTACGATTTTAAGAAATTTGCATTTGGCAACACTTGGTTTGTCCTACCTCCAGCGACTGTTTTTATTTATTTATTTGGCAACACTTGGTTTGTCCTATCTCCAGTAACTGTATGTATGTACATATGTATATGTGTATGTATGTATGTTTGTATGTATGTATTTTTGAGACGGAGTCTTACTCTCACCCAGGCTGGAGTGTAGTGGTGCAATCTTGACTCATTGCAACCTCCACCTCTCAGGTTCAAGCGATTCTCCTGCCTTAGCCTCCTGAGTAGCTGGGATTAGAGGCATGCGTCACCAAGCCCAGCTAATTGTTTGTAGTTTTAGTAGAGGCGGGGTTTCTCTATGTTGGCCAGGGTGGTCTCAAACTCCTGACCTCAGGTGATCTGCCTGCCTTGGCCTCCCAAAGTGTTGGGATTTCAGGTGTGGGCCACCGTGCCCGGCCTCCAGTGACTGTTTCCATTTAGAAGAAATAAAATTACCTACAAACCAGGTGGGTATGCTTCTAATTAGTATTAATTAGGTTTTATTGAATGTTTATTGATTTATACATATTTTTATATGGTGATACCAAAATTAAATAGGAACTAAGTATCAACACCTAAAGTTAGAAAGAATGATGACTATACGAATGAAAGTCCTATTTATAATGTGGAATAATATTTTGTTACTTTAAATGATACCTCTGATTTGGTTACAACTGTAATTACTTAGTTGCTGGCATTTAAAACTAAAACAGAAGCAGAATTACAAAATCTTAGGGATCTGTGGAACACAGACGTTATGCAGCCTAATTTTACAGTAAAGAATTTCTCTCAGACTCCCTGTAAAGTGTCACATAATCTTTTCCTTACACTCTACTCACAGTGCTTGAGAGTACACTCCTCATCTCACATAAGGAAATCCATTCTATAACCGGGCAGTTCTAATTGTTGGAAATACTTTTAATGGGCAGAAATCCGTTTCTACAGCCACTTTATCCACCGATTCTATTTCAGCCTTTTAGAGTTACAAAAAATGAATCTCAACCCTTCTTCTATGACAGTAACTTAAATACTTATCTTTACCTGTGAAATAGTATCAGCTTATTACCTGAGAAAATTTCCTTAGGCCCTTACAGAATATAGTTTCTAAATACTTGATAATCCTGGATGTCCTTTTCTGATAAGCTTTATTTTGTTACAGTCCCTCATGAAGAGTGATACACAGAACTAAATGAATTATTCCAGAACTGGCTTGAATGTAGAGTATACTTTTCCTTCTTCGGTATTCCTATTCATATGGCATTAAGAATACAAAAATTTGGTGGAAGCTCGTATCAAACTTGTGTTCTACTAAAACTCTTCACTCTTTTGAATATGCTTTCTGCTTTGTTAGTTATCAGCAATTTGGTATCAAGTCAGGTCTCACTTCAAAATATAAATCAATTATGCACTAATATCAAAAGTATAAATAGAATATTAGTAGATTAATTTATCTTTTGTCATATGTAAGATGAATAATAAAGATAAACAATGCACCAAAAGAGGGATATTTAAAAATATTAATAAATTCCTTTATAAAACCTCCTATACTTGTATATGGCAAAATTAATATACAGACTTTTCAATGATATTTTTCTTCTATCCAATCTTTTCTACTGGAAATGCTACAGATCTGAAAATAGTGATTAGTTGAAATGTTATAGGACCCAAAGTAATATGATAAACTTCTGGACTCAATAACTGGAAACTTTAAAGATGAATACTTACAAGTTCGTGGATATCAGTTTTAAAGATAGAATGTACTCCAATAATGAAAGGTGTTGGGGAACTCAGAACTTCCAGTAGCTGAGCCGGGAGAATAGGGATATAAGGATAACTGGAAAGAATAAAAATACGTGTCACATATATTTTTCTTTAACATAAACATATTTTCTTTCATCTTTATGCTGTATAAGTTGCATATTACTTAGGTTTAGAAATTATCAATAATGTTTTCATGCTTTTTAATACTAAAATTTTGGAAAAAATGATTTAAAAATCTTCATGTGAAAAATACAATAAGATATAAGACATAAAGTGAATGGAATCCAAGCCTGCTTCCTTAACCTTTGTTTCTTCTAGGCAAGCAGTCTCTTTAGGTCTACTAATATTGTTTGAAAGCATTTTTCCTTACATAGAAACCCGACATTAGACAGTAACACTGACTCTCTGATAGGGCCTCCCCTCTCAATATGAGGCAATGATTTGTCTATATAAAATAAGCACTCAAATTCCACTGTCTATACTTGATTTTTGCATTCAATAAGAATGGCAAAAACAAAAACAAAAACAAAAAACCAGGACCAATAATTCTCTATCTTATCTAAAAAGTTAAGAAAAGTACCTAAATTTAAAAAAATTTTTTAAAGAAATTCTGGAGTCTAAAATTTTATCTAGTTTATATGAACTAATTTCCTAGATGTTAGATTATCAGTTGATTAAACAGTATATTAGAGGTATGCTATTCTAGTTATAGCACTATTAGGCATCACTGTTTTGTTTTTTAAGTTTTTATTAGGAAAATTTTTTTAACATATCCCATAAAAAAACAGAGGAAAAAATTATAATGAAGCCCTGCAGTAATTGTCAACTTTGAGAATTACCAATGCACGGCTACGTATATATCTCTACCCACTTTTTTTCTCTTCTCTACTGTATTATTTTCGAGCAAATCCCAGATGTCACATTGTTTACCCATAAATACTTCAGTGGGTATCTAAGAAAGATAAGAGCTTTTTATTAATAGAATCTCTACCACTATAACTTCTAAAAATTAATAATTCTTTAATATCAAATAGCACTGACTAGACATTTATGCCAAATGTGTTAAAAGACAATTAAAAGTTGCTGACAATACTATTCAAATTAAATATTTTTACACTAATCAACATTCAGTAATGGACAACTTGGAAAGTCTCAAATTCTAGACTAGATTTTATCAAAACTATGACTCATGTAACAGCATAACTTTGTGAAATACCCCTATGTGGTTCAAAACCATTGTGCCATAACATTATGACTTATCGACAATAAGTGATATGTAGTTTAGGAATAAATAAAATTAACAAATGAAAACCTCACCTATATTTAAGAGGAAACATTAAAGATTCCAGGGCTCGACAAGCATCGCTAAGTCTCTGGAAACTTGCAGAATGGAAGAGAACCTTATTTTCTGTGAGGACTGCACAAAAGAGGCTGAGGACATTCTGAATTCCTGAAAACATAAGAGCAAGGACTTACCAAATGCATTTAATTTTATATGTGTTGTCAACAATCATAGACAGTATACACGGAAAGAAAAAGCCAGTAATTTTGGACTCTGAAGGAAAATACTTGGTTAAACTGTAAATTCCATGTAATCTATGAGTATTTGTTTTCCTAAACTTTCAGTTTTGCCTTTATTCTTCAAATCAGGTAATACTCATTGAACATATTAGTTGTTTGGAAATACACTATTACCTTCTTTTCAATTTCATCTCTAAGGCCTGTATTGAGGTTCCTGTTTTAGAATGCTAGCATTGTTCTAAAAACTAACCCTTGCAGAATCTATTTGTCTGACGTTAGTAATACCACACCAGCTTTGTTGTTGTTGAAATTTGCCTACTATATCTTTTAATTTCAACCTTTCCCTACTTCTTGTAAACAGCATGCACAAATGCTCTGCAATTTAATGATGGGGTTACGTCCTAATAAACCCATTGTAAAGTTGAAAAATCTTAAATTGAACATAAATCAGAGACTGTCTGTAACTGAAATATTTTAGTCTGACAACCTTTGTCTTTTAACTAGTTCACTTAATCCATCTATACTTATTGTAATTATTGAGATATACACTAATATATAGAGATATATGTGGTATCTTATTTTATGCTTTTTATTCTATCTTCTCTTTTTTCTTTCTTTTCAATTTCTCCTGTCTCTTCTTTCATCCCCTCTGTTAGTATGGTATTTATAAACTCTTTTTCTATTTTTTTAGTGGCAACTCCAGAAAATACAACATACATACTTATGACATTGAAGTTAAATAAATACATAATTTCTTATTTTCTCCTGTTTATTACTGAACCAAATTATCTTTCTTTATATCACTTCAACTTTAATCATACAGATCCAGTAAAGCAAGAGTCCCCATTTGTTTTCTCAAGGTAAAATACTATATTGTCCCTTTATCATAGCTTATTTCTTCATGTGACATGCAAATTTCCTTAGTCTATTATTAACTGCTATTCCCTCTTATCATTTCCAACTTATCCCATGTGATACATCAGAATCTTTAGTTCAGATTTTAATCTTCGCTCATTTTGATTAATGTAATAGTTTCATAAGTGATTTTCCTAATCCAGTCCTTATTCCCTTCAAATCTACCCTCCAGATAGTTTCTAGAATAAAGGAAAAAAATGATATAATGACTAAAGAAATCTAAATATATTTTCAAGTGGTTTAAAAAATTCATATTAAATCCACAAGAATAAATGCTACAAATTTTACAAAATACATTCTTGTGGATTTCACATGAATTTTAAAAACCCACTAAGGTTTTGGTACACTTGAACAACAGTGAAAATGAATGAGCTAGCATTATATGTATCATCATGACTAAGTCTCCCAAGTATAATACTGAGTGAGGGTAGTAAGGCGTACAATGATGATATAGTTGTGAAAACAAAATAAATCTCAGGATCCCCAAACCACCAAGCCAAAGGGAAGTCCAGCTAGAAACTCCACCAGGAAAATCTACCTCCTATTTTATTCCTAAATAAGATAGCTACAAAGATTAAAAAAAAAAAAAAAAAAAAAAGGCTGGATGTGGTGGCTCACACCTGTAATCCCAGCACTTTGGGAGGCCGAGGCAGGTGGATCACTTGAGGTAAGGAGTTTAAGACCTGCCTGGCCAACATGGTGAAACCTTGTCTCTACTAAATATATAAAAATCAGTGTGGTAGCAGACGCCTGTAACCTCAGCTACTCGGGAGGCGGGGGCAGGAGAATCGCTTGAACCCGGGAGGCAGAGGTTGCAGTGAGCCAAGGTTGCACCATTGCACTCCAGACTGGGCAACAGAGCAAGACTCCGTCTCAAAAAAAAAAAAAAAAAAAAAGCTACATACGTCCCATGCCTCCCTCACAATTTGCCCACAAAGAAATTCCTTGTGGACAAAGGACAGACAAAACTCAGAGTCATCAAAGTCATCCCTGTACTCCTATGAGACAAATGTGTATCTGATTACTTCCTTTGCCCTATTATTTCACTAAGCCAGACTAAGACTTAAGTGACTATTCCTCTAACTGCCACTCACATGTAAATTGTGTATTCAGTAAAAGGCTAATCAGAGACTCAAAAGAATGCAACCTTTTGTCTCTTATATACCTATGACCTGGAAGCCCCCTCCCCTGCTTTGAGTTGTCCCGCCTTTCCAGACCGAACCAATGTACATTTTATGCATATTGATTGATGTCTCATTTTTCAGCAGGTGGCTAGCCAGACATGAGCAGGGAAGGAGAGGACCCCCTCACTCCCACGCCACCACCAAGAATGTCAGGCAACCATCAGGTGATGGTCAGGTGATTATTAAACTGTCTCTCTAAAATAATAATTGGTCATAGCTGATGCCAGGGAAAGGCAATCTTCCAATAGACAGAAACATCTGAAACTGGTGATCAGCAGCTTCCTGATAAAATCTCAGGAGTTGGAGAGTGGGCTCATGCCTGTGCACTAAGAGGCAAAATGGCAGAGTTTAACTGGTATATGACCCTCTAGGAACATTTGGACTGGTAAAGGAAGAATGCCTCCAGTGAGCATGCGTACAACTCCAGTAAACACATGGCACATGTGACCCCTATCAAATGCTGACAGGTCTTTGTGCATGTGGAGTGCCCACCCCAAGGGAAGAATCCAAGGAGGGGAGATGCAAGACCCTGAACACATGACAACATATAAAATCCCGAGTCAAAGCTCTAACAGTGCACTTAATCTCTCAAGTTGTCTGCTTGGCCCTCTTCCAAGTGAACTTTACTTCCCTTCATTCCTGCTCTGATGCTTTTAAATAAACTTTCACTCCTGCTCTAAAACTTGCCTTGGTCTCTCACTCTGCCTTATGCTCCTTGGTTGAATTCTTTCTTCTGAGGAAGCAAGAACTGAGGTTGCTGCAGACCTGTATGGATTTGCTGCTGGTAACATACTTTGGTGCTGTGGCTTGGATACATTCCCTAATATTAACATACTTTGGTGCCACGTGATTCGAATATGCTTCCGCAGTGGTAAGACATCTCTATGCCTCACCTTCTTTGGCTGGAGGTGTTTAACCCTTGTACACAGTTTTGTTTGCTCTTTTCATTCTCCAGCTTACTAACCACCCCCCAGAACAATTCTCTGCCACAGTGGCTCTGTTCCCCAAGCTCATCTCTCAGCTCCTGCTGATGGGTAGCTCATAGGGGTAGGAAGGACCTTGGAGTCCTTCACAGGTAAGATCCTTGACCTGAGACACAAAGGTTCTCCTAGCCAAGAGGCTCATGAGAGTGGTAAGGCTAAAGCCTACAACTGTGCAATGTCTGGGGTTTCCTCTGCTTTTTCAACTAAAATTGGCTCTTTCCCAAAAACCCACACCACCTATTCTCCCGTTTTCTGTGTGTATTCTGAAATGGCCTTGTACACCCTTCAGACTGTCCAAATCGAGGCAAGTTAGCCTCTTTTGCTTTCACTTTGCATGCCATGTAACTGTTATTGGTACACCCTCAGCTCTTGTGGAATTTGCGCAGCAGCAAAAACATGGGCTCCCTTGTGGATATCTCGAGACTTATACTAGTTTTTACCCTACCAGCTCAGATGACCTCTAATCCTTCCTCTGCCTGTTGGCACACTGCTAGGACAGACACTAATTGGATCCCCAGTCAGGTCCTTATGACTTACCATATGCTTTTCGTTCCCGTTACGGTCCAGGGCTGAGTTTTCCGGTGGCTTCTGAAGTAGTTTCCTGCCCGCATAGGGCCTCATTCTAGCCCTTTAAGGACCCCATCTACCTGCCTTTTTTGAGTTAGCACCCCTTCGGGAGGAGGGGAAATTCTTCCTTTGCCATTTGTGAATTCTCACATCAAGCCCTAAGTCCTCCAGAGGTTACTACTTTATGTTAAGAAGACAAATAAATGTTGCCCTCTCAAATCCAAGGGATGTTGTTTTTGGAAGCCTAAGAAAGGTTTCCATGATTATTCCTCTGGCTTCTTCCTACTTCCTCCTGGAGCTTCCATTTCTCTAATCACTTCCATGCCTTTCTCAATATTCATCAAGATCTTCAAGGTCATATTTGAAGGGAGGGAAGTTCAGCCCCCTTGCAGCAGTTAGCTGAAAAACAGGTTTCTTGTCTAGTTAGAGAACAAGGGAAATGGGAATCTGAGAAAAGGGATAATTATTTTGTTGCTAGAATGCTCCAAGTGAGAGTCACTGTAAGGTCATGGAGACAAGAATATAGGATGGCGCAAGGCCGCCGGCACAAGAGACCCATAGGACAGAGACGGAGGCTGGTCCCAAGTTAACAGATTATCATTAGAACAGAGATGAAGGCAAGGTTAGGGGTAAATAGTAAGACCAGTTCATTCTGGAACCCCATGGATGAACAGGAGAGGGCTCTCTGTTCACTCTGGTATCTCTTCTGTGAAAAGAGGGTACCGAAGTTAAGGGTACATGGTAAGATCAACTCATTCCAGAACCCTAAGGACAAATGGGGGGCGTCCTATTCAGGATAATAGGAAGAGAAGACACTTTTTTACTTTTTTTCTCGTCTATTCTCTCTTCACAGATGGGTAATTCCATCTTCATACCACAGGACACAACCCTCAGATGCATCCTCAAGAACTGGGAAAAGTTTGACTCCAAAACCCTGTAAAGGAAAAGGCTAATGTTTTTCTGTAATACAGCCTGAGTTGAATACAACTGTGCTCCAAGACCAGGAATCTTGGACAGAAAACCAAAATATTAACATAATCTATCAACTAGATTTACTTTGCCACCAGCAGGGAATATGGATAGAAATCCCCTATGTACAGGCCTTCATAGCCCTGTAAAACAACCCTGACCTTTGTTGGGCTTGTAAAATGGATCTAGTGATGATAGCTGCCATAGTCAGACAGCCCCCTCTGGTTGGTTCGGGACACTCCTTATTGGGTATACCCTGGTTTCAAGCCCCAGAAGGGCAAAAGATGACAGCTCAAACCCCACTGCCCCTT